TGGGGCCGGGCACCTTGTAGAAGTTGAAGACGAGGTCGAGCTCGCAGACGTTGTGGAAATACTCGTTGAGCACCTGGGGGGATGAGGGGGTCGGGGGGGATCCCACCGGGATCCCACCGGGATCCGGCGTCTCCCACAGGATCCCGGTGTCCCCGTGGGATCCCCGCCGGGGCCACCAAGGAGCCTCCGCTGAGATCCAAGGCAGCGATTCCCGGCTCCGGGGCGGGATCCCCGGCTCCGGGGCGGGATCCCCGGCTCCGGGGCGGGATTCCCGGCTCCGGGGCGGGATCCCCGGCTCCGGGGCGGGATTCCCGGCTCCGGGGCGGGATCCCGGCGGGATCCGCAGGGATCTCACCTCCACGAAGTTGTGGATGGCCTCCAGGTAGGCCAGGTTGTTGTCGGTGACGTCCACGCAGATGCAGAAGTAGAGGCCGGCGTAGCGGCGATAGATGATCTTGAAGTTGCGGAACTGGGGGGACAGCGCGGGCCGCGTTGGGGACCCCGGGGACACGCGGGGCCGGGGCGACCCCGGGAGGGCCACGGGGGAGGTTTCAGGGGGCAAAATTGGCTGCTTTTTGGGGGCCAAACGGCAGCCGYGCCCGGGGAAAACGGCGGTTTTTGGGATCAAGCGAAACCACTTTGGGGGGAAAGCCGCGGGTTTTGGGCCAGGCAGAGATGCTTTGGGGGCAAAACTGCTGCTTTTGGCTCCAGTGGAGCCACTTTGTGGGGACAGAGCTGCAGTTTGGGGGTCAAAACCAGGCACCCTGGGGCCAAACACGGCTGCTTTGGGGCCAAAAGTGCAGCTTTGGGGCCCAAAGTGCAGCTTTGGGGCCAAAACTGGAGTTTTTGGCTCCAGCAGAGCCTCTCTGGGGGACAAAACCGCAGCTTTGGGGCCAAAACCAGCCACTTTGTGGCCCAAAGCGGCCGCTTTGGGAGGCAAAATGCGCATTTGGGGGGCAAAAGCAGCCGCTTAGGGGCCAAAAGCGGCCGCTTTGAGGGTCAAAATGCCCATTTGGGGCCCAAACGAGCCGCTTTGGGGGCGAAAGCGGCCACTTTGGGGCCCCAGGAGCCTCCAGACGCCCCGTTTTGGGGCCAAGCCCCCCCCRTTTGCCGGGATTCCCGGCGTTCCCGGCGCTCCGTCACCTCCACGAAGTTGGTGTGCTTGGCGTCGCGCACCGTCACCACGGCGTGCACCTCCTCGATCAGCTTCTGCTTCTCGTCATCGTCGAACTGCATGTACCACTTGGCCAGGCGCGTCTTGCCCGCCCGGTTCTGGATCAGGATGAAGCGGATCTGCCCCCAAAACGGTGGGAAAAAAACRAAATAAAACGTTTTTGGGGGGTAAAACGCATTTTGGGGGTATTTGAAGCCTTCTCGTGGGTTTTGCTTCCTTTTTTTAGTTTTTTTTGGGTTTTTTTTTTTCTGCTTTCTCGGGGCTGCCTCTTCTCTGGTGGTTTGGGGAGGAGAAGGGGCTCCCGGAGGACCCAAAAAGGGGAAAACTGTCCCCAAAAGGCAGCTCTGGGGAGGGGCTGCCCCCTCCCGCACATCATGGGGACCCCAAATGTCCCACAAGGGGGTCCCATGAGGGAGCCCCCCCTCCAATTCAATCACCCCCCCCCCTTCCATAGGGGCTCTATATGGGGGTGCCCCCCCGGGGGCAATATAGGGACAATCTATGGGGATGTGGGGGGGGCGGGGCTGCCCCCTACATGACACCCAATGTCCCCCCCCCATAGGGACCCCCAAACGAGCTGCCCCCCCGCCAAAAGGGGACACCCATAAGACCCTATGGGGAGGGGGTCCTATGCCGCAAGCCCCCCCCCCAACCCCACAACGAGCCCCCCAATGTCCCCCCTATAACGGGCCCCATAAGGGGGACCCCAAGAGCTGCTGCCCCCCTCCCGCCTCACCATGGCGGCCCTGTCACTGCGCGGCGCCCCCCGCCCGCAGCGCTGCCGCCACCGCACCGGATATCCGCTCCCCAGCGCGCGGGCACGCCGGGACTTGTAGTTCTCGGCAGGGTTACCGTTTACCCCGCCCGACAGCCCGCGCGCGAGGCATGCCGGGATTGTATTCGCCCACCTCTAGAGAGGCACTTCCGCCTCGGCTGCTCCCGGCGCCCACCGCGGTGCTTACCCGCCCTTCCCAGCAGCTTGTACTGCCCCGCAGAGCATGCCGGGATGTATTCCCCCTCCGCTCCCCACTTCCGCCTCGGCTGCTCTCGAGTTCCCTTCGGAATCGGGGGCGGGGGGGGCGGTTCCCGATGGGATTGAAGCGCCTGGAAGGGCCGCATCCCAGGGCCACGATGGGATCCCAGAGCCCTGATGAGGTCAAATGGAATCTGGGATCAGTTTAGATACAGACGGCTAGGAAATCTTGGGAAGGCTCCACATTCCTGGCTGGGATCTGGTGGGAGTGGAGCTCTCAGAAGGGTTCAGGGATCTGAGATCCTGGGTGGGCCCCAAATGGATCTGAGCTCCTGGGTGGGAGTTCAGCTCATGGACTTGATGGGATCCAATAGGATCCAAGCTCCCAGAAGGCAAGTGAGCTCGTGGATCTGATGGGATCTAAGCTTCCGGGTGCGATCAAACTCCTGGAAGGGATCTGAGCTCCTGAAAGAGATCAAGCTCATGGCTGGGCAGAGCTATGATCCAAGCTCAGGGATGGGAGCAGCATCCAGGGCTGATTCCAGCTCCTGGAGGAGAGGGGTGTCAGGGATTCCACGATTCCAGGGATCCAAGGACCCCTCTGCAATGTCCCTCCCCGCAATGCCCCCCCCTTCCCCCCACGATGTCCCCTCGTGCCTTGACCCCCTCCCTGTRAGGAGCGCGCGCCAGGAGGGGGCGTGGCCTCGGTGTCAAGGGGCGTGGCCGCGCCGGGCGTGCGCACTCCCCCCGCCCTTCCGTTTGCTCCTCCTGCCTTTCCCTCCCCCGCCCTTCCCTGCAAGTGCGTGGCCCCGCCCCTCTGCACATGCGC